GAAGTTAACTCTATGAGTTATATAAAACCAAGGTTTCCAGCTTGTAGAATACCACCAACCAGAGGTAACCTGTTGTAAGCTAGACCTTTGTGTCTAGGTGTCTAGGTGTAGAGGGTTAACTTCAAGCCTGCAGGGAATATTCTGACTTCATGATGCTGGGTTGCTTTATATAGTTTCCAGATTGCATTAACCATAAATTCTCATCAGCTGGAGCAGATTCCCATTCTTCTCTTTAAGCTGCTGATAGATTACTAAAGTTGCTGTCATCCATTTCATATCTCATAAATGTGCCAGCCGGCTCTGCAGCCCACCAGGCCACTCTGGAGGCACAGCTGCTCACAGTCACACCACAGCGCCTAGAGCCCCAACAGGCTGGTGGCCTCAGGCTAAGCCAACCCATTGATCTTGTTATCAGTAGTAGCTGGAAGATAATCCCCCTGGACCCATTTCTTTTTTACCTGATCCTCTCCCTTCTAACCCCCAGGAGCCCCAGCTCAGTTTTCAACCCAAACATGTATCTTTCCCTCATTCAAAGTTAAACTTCTTGAGGAAAGAGTGCCTCTCTTTAGCCTTCCTTTTATGTTCCCATACTGAAACTCACACAGCAGTTTCTGTAAAATGGAGACTGGCAAGGTAACTTTCGTGACAACTACCACTATTAGCCAGAGACTAGCTGGGACTCTCAAAAACAAAAGAAGACAGATTTTTCCTGTGATCTATTTCTGGTACAAGAAAGTAGGTTGTAATAATGAAAAGGACTGTTTCAGGAATTTTTTTTAATTATAAAAATCTTCTGGGAGAGTCCAGGACAGTTTATGGACAAAAGTGATCTTTATTTTTATGGTTTAATTTGGAAAGAAGTGGATGCTTGCCACATTCCCCTGAACGTTTACTAGTAGAGATTTGTTTTTTAGCTCAACAGTTTTCCCACTGTGAAAATGTAAATTCTGGAAAGATATTTAACACGTTCAAGTCACATGGCTCTAACTTTTATAGTGTGATTTAATTGATTGGTTTTCTCAGGTGACAGCTCATGATGCATGAAAACTTATTCTTGAAGGAAATACAAAGGCAGGCCCCCAGGTTTATTACCAGGAGGCAGGTGGGCAGAGCCAGGAAGCACAGTGATGGCATTGGAGTAGAGTACCTGGGAATCCATCAACCAGTCTGAGGACACAAAATACCTTTCAGAAGAGAGGGGAAGGGGAGATAAAAAGGAGGGAGAGAGTCTTGAAAAGAAGGGGGGGCACACCTATCCCTAAATATACCCAGAGATGCCCTGGGCCTCTGGAGCACAGGTTCTCCACCAGAACACAATGTTTCAAACCTGTCTAGCATGGCAACCAAGACTACTCCTGAGGGGCTAATCCTAGTTCACCTTGGGCTTTTGTCACTCTTAGTGGTTGCTCCTCAAAACTACTAGATGTTTGTCGAATGCTGAAGTGGCCTCCATATCCCCAACCCTTTCTCCCAACTAGTTCCTACTTGTGAGTTCTGTCTGGGAAAAGTCCAGTCATTGTTAATATAACAAGAATGGTTTGCATGACATCAATGTATCCTGGCAGCCAAGAAAAGTGGACTGGAATGCTCATACATGAACAATGACGACTTCACGTACTGGTCATTGCGGGTCATAGACACTGTTAAGTAGGCATGTGTACTGTGTAGCCATTGCATTCAAAATGACTGAACGAGTAGAGAAATGGATCTGCATCAAATCTTGTGTTAAGCTTGAACATTCCTCTGTGGAAACTATTCAGATAATTCAGAAGGGCACAGCTATGGGCAACAGGTGACTGGCAGCTTCATCACGACAGTGCACGTGCTCATGCACCATGTCTCATGCAGAGATTTTTGGTGAAATAGCTAATCACCTAGGTGACTCAATGCCTCTACATCTCAGATTTGGTGTCCTGAGACTTTGGTCTTTTCCCAAAACTAAAGTTGCCTTTGAAAGGGAAGAGATTTAAGGCTATTGATAAGATTCAGGAAAATACAACAGGGCAACTGATGGTGATTGGGAGAACTCCGTGACGTCCCAAAGTGCCTACTTTGAAGGGGACTGAGGCATTATTGTCCTATGTACAATGTCTCTTGTATTCCATATCTTCTTCAATAAATGTCTCTATTTTTCATATTACATGGCTGGATACCTTTCTGGACAGACCTTATATATTTCACAAATTCATTCCTAACTTCTCTCTCAGACTGAAGAATGAGCCTTTCTTGACCACAGCACCCTGGTCTCTCCATTTCAGTGCCTCAGCCACCCCAGCTGCTTTGTGCTTCCACAAGTGACCATCTCCCTGTGCATTAGACGGTAAGGGGCTGGGGACTGAGCAATATTATTTATCTTTACATTCCCTATTCAGGGCATAGTGAAGACCCTCAAAAACAATAATAATAAAAAAGTTTTTAAAAAAGAAATGAATAGTTTACTGTATTATGTTTACAAAAATCTGACAGTGGATCAGTCTTTACTTCTCTGAGTAAATAAACCATTGGTTTGGGAAAGAAGTATTATTTTCCAAGGTCTTTGTGGCAGATGGGCTCCTTTTGTGGGTAGAAAGCTATTTGTGAATATCATACCACCCTGAGAATACTTGACCAGGGCAAAAAGAAAACTGGAAATGTCATCTGAGTCCATGGGAATTTATGACTAGCCCAAATCTGGGGAATGTATAAAAGAGCAAGACAATGAAATGTGTTCAACATGGGTCAACTGGCCATGAGTGACTTGGGAGAAAAGGTAAAAGGAGATGTTAACAATAAAGGCAGAACCTAGGACAGGCGTGCACAGGCTTGCTGAACACTACCACTACCTCAACCTGGCCTGGAAACTCAAATTCTCACTTACAATTGTCATCCATTGTCATCCTCTGGTGATAGGGAAAGGGCAGAATGGGGCACAAAGAATAAAGTCAAGGACTTAGATTAAGGGCAGCAGGAAGGGAGAAGGAGGGATGAAAACCACCCCACCTGACAGAAGATGGGTGCCTATTGAATGTATTTTCTGCTCTGATGGGCCTTGGAAGTGAGACATTCATCCTTCCACCTCTCCCCCACCACCCAATGCACTCTCCTAGAGAGTTCAAAGCCTCTGTACACACGAATTCTTAATTTCTAAGGCACTGTAGCAAGGCAAAATATATCTTTCCCACCTGAAGTTTCATTGACAAATTATTTACAAAGCTAAAAGGCCTTTTTGTGGGCCCTTTGAAGAGGCTCTTTTTGTTCTCTGCTATGTGACTAAAAAGCAAAAGCAAATCTGAGTGCAGAAGTAATTGATATACCATTGAGCCAGATAACATTTGTTAATTCAATCTGTATGAAACTGTTCTTGGACAACAGGCACAGATGAGTTATGGGTTTGGGATTTGGTCTGGAAACACCATATATCACAAAGAACTGGGCACTGAGGCTGAATTACTCCTACCTCTTCCTTGTGAAGGAACAACTTAGAGCCATGAAACCTTGAAAAGGTCAAGCTACCACTGGACCCATATCCCTCTTTGCTAATGGGGAGGCCCCTGTCTCTTAGACCAACTCTTCTGTAGGGGTGCCCTGCCCTGTCAAGTCTGGGAAAAATCAAACCAAACCCTGCAAGACGAGGGCAGCAATTTTCAACTAGTGTGCCACAAGAATTTTTAAAACATGCAATACCTGACTATTTAGTCAGAGGCACTGACCTCTTCTCCCTTAGATTGTGCAATAAAAATGGCAACAGCCCACACAATAGTTGTCTGATATAAGTGCCCTGTCTTGAACCATAAATATGTAAGTCATATAATAGAGTTGAATCTTAATGGTCATGTTGCATAATAAGGTTGAGACTGATTGGTTAATTCTCGATATGAGAAATCTAGGTATGATGAAGACAGGTGAGTATGCAAGGCAATGCTGCAATGCAATTCTGGCACTAACCAACCAAAGTGAGCATACATTCCATAGGTTCAAGGATACTATTCCTCACAAAACTCCTCTCCCTCAGACACCAGCCACAAGTTCCAGGGTTCCCAGCCTACTCACACTTGTGGCCAACTGTCTACAAATTTATAACCTTCTCAAGTTCAGTAATTGACTAGAATGACTTACAGAGTTTAGGAATGCCTCCAGTTACAGTTTAATATAAAGGATTCAAATCAAGACCAGTCAGAAAAATAGACCCACAGAGCAAAGTATGGGAAGGTTACAAATTCAAAGTTTTCATGTCTTCTAGTGAAATTAAGCTGCACTACCCTCTTGGCTTATTGATGTATGGTTACCAACCAAGAAGCTTAACACAGCTTCAATGTCCAGAGTTTTTATTGTAGTTTCATTAAGTAAGCACAGATGATTAAATCTTTGATCACATGATTGAACAGCAGGAGCAAGCCACATGCCTGTGGGAAAGGAGGCTCGGGTGGGGATGGGGAACACTAACCAACCCTAGGCTCTGCAAAGAGGCAAGTGCCTAAGGAGTGACGGGAAGCCAGGCCAGGGCTCCCGCTGCTCCAGTTTCTCTGTAATCCTCTTCTCTGCCAAGCTTGCCTCTGCCTCCAGTCAGGAGCATGGCTGGAGGCAGGGGTAGGACAGGGCAGTGCCTAAACCCACACTCCCTTGGTCCTACCTGAAGGCTGGGTGGGTGGGAGGACTGGCTCTGTCTACCCGGAACTTGGCCATGACCACAGCTGTCTACTTGGCCTTCAAAGGCCAGGCCCCATGCTCCGTCTGGCCCTGTTGGAGGGGCCCTAGGGCGCACTCCTGTCCCCGTGTACCTGTTCTGCCCTGGCTGGGTGCACAGTGCTCGGCAGAGGCGTGACTGGTATCTGCGCGTCCAGCCCTTGGGTCAGAAGCTGCCTGGCCCTTTGAGCCACATGCCCTCGTGGACCCACAGGGGCCACTCGCTGCTGGTGCTGGGCGACAGGGAGGGAGGGGATCGTGAGAGGCCAGTGCCCCCACCAACGGGGCAGAGGGCTGGGGAGAGAGGTAGCTTGGCTCTCCACAGACCCCCTTGGGGGTTACGTGCCTGCAGCTGAGTGCAGCTGGCGTGCCAGCTGGCCCGCCAGCTGGCCCGAGGCCGCAGAGCAGCTGGGAGGCCGATCAGTCCACTCAGAGACAAGGCTGGGGCCTGCACACTCAGGACCTTCGGAACCTGGCGAGTGGCCTCCCCCAGGCCCGGGGGGAGGTGTGGCCCAGGGCTCTGCTGGCCTGCCTGGGAGCTGCCAGGGCAAGGGGTCTGGGAGGGAGAGGCTGGTCTGTTGGGGGCATAGGGGCAGGAGGGAGGTCAGAGGCCTGGGCTCATGGCCTGGAAGGGGAAGGGAGAAGAACTGTCTGCCATCGGTTGTCCAGGTGCCACAGGGGCTGAGTGTTCTTGGGACAAAGGATGAGGCCCTGCGGCCAGGAGACCCCTGGTTTCCCCTCAGCATTGCCACTGGGGAACTGCACCTTCCGCTTGTGGCCAACAAGTGCTGAGTCCGGGCCAGAGGGGAGGTCTGCAAAGCCACAGCTGGTCGGAAGGCACTGGCAAGTAGGGCTCCTGGACACCAGTGCCCCTGGGGGGTCCATAGTGATATCGGCCGACCCCCACAGGTCTTGGCAGCTTCCTGCTGGCCTGGGCACCTCACCAGCCCCGACACATTCAGCTGGTGCCTCCATGCAGCCCACCACGCCATCCCGATCCGGGCTGCCAGGGGCCTGGGGGTCGTCTTCCTCCCTCACCCTGGGAGATGCTGCCCTGCCACAGGTGGGCTGGATGGGAGACAGTGTCTCAGGACACAGAAGGTTGCAATCCAAAGCTGAGGAGTCTGACTGCCTGGGGAGGCTCTCCTGGGAGGGGGTGTCCACAAAGCTGTGGCTGAGCTGGGTGATGATCCAATTGACTTCTGCATACGGGTGGGCTTCGAGGACAGAGCCCTGGTGCTGGGCACTCTGGAGGTGCCCACGGAGCTCTTCAAAGTCCTCCTGGCAGCACTCGCAGTACCCTCTCCTCCTCCTGGGCACGGTGCGGGCGGCCGATTGTGGGCTTGCCTCCTGGTCCCTGAGATCTCCAGCCCTTCTCTCCTCCCTGGAGGTTGGGCTGACACCACCTGGTACAAAGCTTCAACACTGTGATCAAGTGATTGGTCTTTATGCACATCCTGGGCTGAGTCACCTCATTTGCATAAACTCAGGTGTGGTTCCAGGAACCCTCTGTGAATAGTAAAGACGCAGCCAACACCTGGGAAATTACAAGGGTTTAGAAGCTCCCTCTTAGGAACCTGGGACAAAGACCAGACATATTCTTTGTTATACAACAGGGAGAATTCCCTTACCCATTGAGAGAGACCTGAACTTCAGGCCCTACTTTACACTTGCCAGTATTGAAAACTGGATAAATGCTGACATTTGTCTGAGGAGTGATTCCTTCTAGATATAAATTAAATAGGTTAGTGAATAGCCAGTCAAATATCTGAAATAAATTGTCAGTCATTTGTTTATACCGTTCATTTATTCATTTACTCATTAAGTAAATACATAAAAAGCTACCAAGTGCCAGGCACAGTTTAAACTGTCACCAAGTATGACCTGCAATTGATTGCCATAATGCTAGTGGGTAGACATTATCCAGGAGTGAATACCTCTGAATCTGGGAGAAGAATCATTATTCCTAGGTATCAGAAGCTTGTTAGGGTCAGAGTGAAGAGTGGGGTGGGGGAGGTGGCTAACATTATCAATGCCCTCAATCTGTGCATGAACCAGGGATGCAGTGACTGCAATTGGTGCCTGTCTTCAAGTCATTCCTTGAATCTTCACATAAACCCACAGGACAGGTGTCCTAATAGATGAGTGAGGCAAATAAAGAGGTTGAGCTCCATCTGACTATGAAAGTGGCAGAACCAGTGAGAGAAGGGCTGGGACAGAGCCAAGGCTCCCTGACCCCAAATCCTACCAGCTCTCCTTCCATTATATCGTACCTAACATCACTCTCAGGATTGCTCCTCAGAATGACAACTCTCCTGAGTTTTGGTTTCAGGATGTTCAGGGATAAAGGATAGCATCTCTGTTAAGGGAGGAGATTTCTGTTAACCTCAGGCAGCAATTGAGCCACATTAAAGAAAAGTAATATCACCTCCCCCTAAAAACTGTGTCTTTTCTTAGTTGAACTGGGAATATTTCTTTGTCTGTTTTCTTCTTTTTTCGTTTGGAAAAAAAGACCCTAGTATCTTTTCTCTCTGCCTCCACTTCCCCAGATAAGAGCTTTAATTGACAGCCATAGTATTAATTAGTACTGCTATATATCAGATTACCTCCAAAACTGAGTGGCTTAAGACAACAAGCATTTATTATCTCACACAGTTTGAGAGTCAGTAATCCACCAGTGCTGTAACTGGGAAGTCCTGTTTTTTGGACCTCTCATAAAGTTGCAGTAAAGATGTTGACTGGGGCTGCAGTCATCTCAAGGCTTGACAGGGAGTAGAATGATTTACTTACAAACTCACTCAGGTAACTGTAGATAAGAGGCCTCAGTTACTCACCACACAGACCTCTCCATATAGAAGATTTTAACGGCCGTGGCAGCTTGCTTTGCCCAGAGTGATGAGACACCGGCAGGTGTAGGGGTAGGAGGAAGCACAATCAAGTTGGAAGCTTTAATATCTTTTATAGCCTAGTCTTAAAAGTAACATACCCGAATTTTTTGTTGTATTTTCCTAGTCACACAGAATAACCTTGACACAATGAAGGAAGGGACTGCCAAGAGGCATAAATCACTGGGGAGCATCTTAGAGACTGAGTACCAGAGTCTCCCATCCCCATCACCAATGATTCATGTTCGTCCCACTTGTTAAATACACTCACTCTCTCCCCAGATCCGTGCCCCTCTTCCTCTGCCAAACATTATCCCGTTACAGTATCCGCTCAAAGTTTGATTCTCATTATCAAAATCAGGTGTAGGTAAGAAGAAGCCTGTGACATAAAGAGACAAATTATCTGTCCCTCACACACCCAACATTGGTGGAAATAGATGGAAGACAGCTGCATAGACATTCCTGTGTCAAAAGAAGGGAACTGGCAGCACAAAAGAGCCACTGATCCAAGCAATTCTGAAATGCCACTGAGCAAATGCTAGACGCTCCTAGAGTAAGACTCTCCCCACACCTGCCTAGAAGAAGTACCATGGCTCTTCGTTCTATCTTCTGAGTCATCTTTGTTTTTCATGACAGGTAATATATAATACTTAATATGGCTAGTTTCTCAGCATCCTCTTCTTCTAGAAGTGAAGGGACCCACTGGCTTCTTTTCATTTTGAACTGTCCGTGTCAGTTTAAGCTGGTAATATTTTGGTGGGTATAATTCTTTTTAAAACATGTGGGTCTCATGTGAATCTAACTGGGGTTTACTCTATTAGACAAAAGCCATACCCATACATTTCTTCAATGTAAGCCCTCTCTATCTTGGACTTCTGTTAAAGAATAATCCTTTTAAGCTTCTTAGAAGCCCTATTGTATGATTGAGATGATCTGTGAAGCATATCCTTAATATTTTAAGGGTTTTTTTCTTCTTTTTGACTGAATGGTACTCTGAGGCACCATCTTTGATATTCTTGAAGTCTTGACAAAGGATTTTTCAGCCATGTACTTGCTTTCATCTCTGGACTATGCTATTTTCAAAGTGTCCTGTATTTCATCTTTGCTCAGAAACAACTTCTTAATTTCAGCATCGGTTGCCATCTGGAAAGGTTGGGAATCTTCAAAAACAGCAAATCATGGCTGCTTTCTTCTAAATGTATGTCTCTACTCTCACTTTTTACTATAGGCAGCAAGAAGGAAACAGGTGGTACCTTCAACTCTCTTTCTGAATATCTCCCTATTTACACCACTCAGTTCATTAAACTTTCTCCTACCACATAACATGGAACCCCTTTCCTCCAGCATCCAATAAGACTTTCCTTTAGGCCTCACCAGCAGCCTCAAATTTAAATTTTGTTAATATTGTGTTCAAGGCAATTTAAGATTTTATTAATGCTCTCTGTACAGTCCTCCCACTTATTTCCCACAGCCTGCTTCTAAAGACACTCTTACATTAGGTATTTATTATGGTAGCATTCTACTTCCACTTACCAGAATCTGTATTGGTTATCTACTGTTATGTAGCCTCAGAATATAGTAGCTGAAGATAAATGTTTCCTATGTTACAAAGTGTCTAAAAGTCAGGAACTGGAGTGGGTCAGCTGGACCAGCCTGGCTCAAAGTCCTTTAGGAGATTGCAGCCAAGCCATTGGCAGGGCTGCAGGCGTCTGAATACCTGAGTGTGGCTGGGGGATGGTATGCCTCTTGGTAGGAGACCTCAGTTCCTCACTTGATGACCTTCTCCTGACATGCCAAGTGGCTTTTTACAGGGAGACCAGAGATGGGTGGGGTGGGAGAGAGAGAGAGAGAGAGAGAGAGAGAGAGAGAGAGAGAGAGAGAGAGAGAGAGAGAGAAAGCTGTGTGGTTTTCTGGAACTTTATCTCTGAAGTGACATGCCATCACTCTGCCATATTCTAGCGGTCACATAGACCACCCTTGGTGCAACATGGGAGGTGACCACACAAGGATACTATAGGCGGTGGAGATCAGAGGGAGCCAGGTGACAAGCTTCACCATCGCTGACACCTGCCCTTACAGGCACTCCCACTGCAGCAGACTCCGAGCAGTTTCTCTAGCCTGCTCAAACCCTGCTTCAAACCCTGCCTCAAACCCGCTGCTAATATCAAAGGGTTGGGCCACTTTCTCCTGTGAATACTGTATATATGATCTTCATGTACCTTTTAAATAGAGCCATAAACTGTTTTCTCTACCTTAGTGGTGGTGGGCACTGCTCTGTGAGAAATTTGCAGAGGAAAGGCACCTAGATGAACACCTGTTTCTGCCAGAACAGAAGCACACTGCAAATCTGCCATCTGACCTGTGCTTCCGAATTTAATTTGGTGTTGGCTTATTGTCGGGAGAAACCAGAGAGGTGGTGGCACCACTGTGCACATGTTCTGTTTCTGAATACAGAAGTCCTGGATGCAAGTGTTACATGGGAGCGTATGCCAGGTGACTCTACCAAGATTCCTACAAAGGCACAGAAGCTGAAGACCCTTGGCTCTTGGTTCAAACTTCTGCTCTACGTTGAAACCTCCACTAAGGAACAAGTGTTCTTTCTGGGATTTGGCCATGCAGAGAAACCCTGTCCTGGCTTCAACTGCCACCTCCCATTCCAGGTGAAAGTCCTCAGGCAAGGAGGCTGGGCTTCTCTCTGGACTGAAGGCAGGCAGGGGGCCCCAGCCTTGTACCCGGAGCCAGACCTCCATTAAGGTCGCCTGTGGGAGTGCAGATTCTTTGTCTGAGTCCCAAGTGCAGCTTTGAAATATTTGTTTTATTTTTTCTGATTTCATAAAGCACGGAATTATTTAATGGCTGTAAAAGAATTTAAATATTACACATACACAAACACACATTTGTGTATGTGTATATATTATGTATAGTATAAACTCTTATAAGAATTAGAGTAACGTGTATATAATATAGAATGTGTATATATAATATATATGATTTAAAAATATTCTTTAGCAGATACTTATTTGCTCTGCACACTGGGGATATGAGTGAGAAAAAAAACCCCAGACATTATGGCACTTACTTGTACCTTCTTATGTAGAGAGAAAAACAAAAAGCTAAATAAATGATTATGTAGCGTATTAGAAGGGGTCAAGTGTTCTGGAAAAATTAAAGTAAGGAGGGGTATAAGGGGAGCCAAGGTGGGAGAAGATTATAATTTTATATAGCATGATTAGGAAAGGCCTCATTAAGATGGTAAAGGAGGTGAAGGGGAAACAATCATTCCAGACAGCAGGAACAGCAAGTGCAAATGTCCTGGGGCTTACAGACACTGACATTTCTCCAATGCCATAGGCGAAATCCACTCAAGTGAAGGGAGCAGTGGCTGCAAATGAGGGCTGAGGCTCCAGGACTGGCTCTGCCATAAACTCCCTGGACAAATTCCTTGCCCTTCCCAGAGCTTAGCTTCCCCAATTGAAAAGCTGAAGTTTGGAATAGGCAGCACCATGTAGAGGGAACAAAAGGACTCCAGAACCCACTAGAGCCTACGCCCTATCCAAGCGCCGTGGTTTTCCTCAGTAAGTAATTTTTTTGGAAGTGGTTTTCTTGAGTGTGCAGTGAGGACTTGAGGTTCCTTGCTCCTGAGGTATGTGGCGTGGGCAACACGCCCCTTAGGCTCAGCACATGTCAGGTCCCTGAGGAACGGCCATTTCCCTGCCAACACTGACCCTGACCAAAGCCTTGGGTACTTTCAGAATCTACAATACTGTGGCTGTTAGAAGAGTAATTGCTGCACACACCATATTACAAAGCATACCTGGCCGAAGCTGGGGCTAGGGTTGGGGAAGCGCTCCTCATCAAACCTGCGAATATCCTGCAGTGAAATGTGTATACATTCACACGATGAGACCAGTGGAAACCAGAAATAGTCATATATTATTACAGCTCAGGTTTTGCTCATTGAATAGGAGCTATGAAAAGATTTCTACTTTTGAGTCTTGGTCTTCTTTCTCTCCTAGAAAAAGTTGATGGCACCAGAGCTGACACTGGAGAGAAGATATTTAAGAGAATGTGGGGCTGCTAGTGTAAGTTTCCTCTCAGGGCTCGGGGTGCTGTGTTGAGCAAGAACACAAGTGGCGTTCTAACTTTCCATCTTCTAACATTTCCTCAGTTTTATTTCCTCCTAAAGAAAACACCTGTCTTCAGATAAAGCCCAGCATGTACCCAGTCCCCCCTTCGCTTGTCTGCCCAGATGCTCCCTCCCAGGCTTCAGCAGGGTCAGAAGAGGGGGTTGGTTGCCTCAGATCTCTACCCAGAGACTGCTGCTGCGCATGACTGACTGCACTGGAGGGAGGGAACAGGGGATCTGATTGGCTGCCTCCTGTGTATCACAGTGACCGGGCCAGGCTCTCCTTTGGGCCAGGCATGGCACAGTGAATGTTTTAGTCTGTTTGGGCTGCTATAGAGAAAATACCATAGAATGGGTGCTGATGAAAAAAAAAATTTTCTCACAGTTCTGGACACTGCAAAGTCCAAGATCAAAGTGCTGGCAAAATCAGTGTCTAGTGAGAGCCTTCTTCTCAGTTCACAGGTGGTGCTATGGTCTGAATGCATGTGTAGCCTCAAAATTGAATATTGGAATTCTAATGACCAATGTGATCGTATTAGGAGGTGGGGCCCTTGGCAGATGATTAGATCATAAGGAAGAGTTCCCATGAATCAGAATAGTGCTGTTGTAAGAGAGACCCCACAGAGCTCCCTCACCCCACCTGCCATGTGAGGTCACAAGAAGTCTGCAACCTGGAAGAGGACCCTCGCCTGATCATGCTGTCACCCTGCTCTCAGACTTCCAGCCTCCAAAACTGCGAGAAATACATTTATGGGGTTTGTAAGCCACCCAGTCCATGGTATTTTATTATAGCAGCCCAGGGGGACCAAGACAGATGTCCATTTTCTCACTGTGTCATCACATGGTGGAGAGCTGAGTGAGGGAGTTCATTAGGGTTTCTTTTATAAGGGACCTAATCCTGTAGTCGAATGCAGGCCCAGCTGCCTGCCGCCAAGAGAGTGAATACTCGACAGGAAGGTGCTGGCGTAAAGTGAAGTGGTTTGTGTGCAGATGGTGGCTCCCTAGAAGATGGGGGACTCCTGTCACAGCCCATCTCCCCCTCTCTGTTCAGGCAGAGGTTTCCATAAGGAAGGAGAGGGGAACAGAAAGAAGAGCTCAAGGGAGGGGTTGCAAAGTTCTCTAGGTGCAGACAAGCACAGTCGATCGCAATAAGGACCATGAGAGTCTGGTGTGCATCATCCTGGTTTAGTCATCCTGGCTTCACGCTATCCTGGTTCCATGGTTGAGGCCAGCAAATCTCTCAGAGCTGGGAGGCTTGAAGGTCAGGATCTGTAACTTTTGAAGGCAATTCCTTGGATTCTGATACAACCATACTGTTCATCTTCAAGCTACATACTTGTCAGAGTCAGCACTTAGAGAAACAATGTCAAGAGAATCCTGGGGTGGGTTACAATTTTCCACTGTACAGTTTTCCACTCCTACAATTCCACTTGTGAGGGCTCCATCCCCATCACCTAATCACTTCCCAAACGCCTCATATTAGGGATTAGGTTTCAACATAGGAATTTGGGAGTGGGGGAAACACAAACGTTCAGTCTGTAGCAATGTGCGAGAAGGATTTTTATTTCCTATGCACTCCAAAGGTTTGTCCTGGCTCAGGTTTATCCTGCTCCAAGGGTTTGTTACACCAAGGCTCATCCTGTATGACACCTCTAAACATTTTTCTGTGAAAAGATCTGCAGCTAAATTGCTTCTTGGTTGACCACAGTGCCTTCTTCTGGGTTCAAATTCTGACTTTATCACCTGTTAGGCCACTTTCATTTCCTAGTTGTAGTATAGGGATAAAAATGGCAACTACTCAGCCTTATTCAATTGGCTAAGACACATGAAATGAGTGGCACAATTTTTGGCTTATGGTGGCCATCCAACAAATCAATGCCAGTTTTCTCTCTTTAATTCTGGATCTAAATAAACAGAAAGCACCTCCAGTTAATTCAGTTCCACTGTTTGTTTAGGAGTCCCTTTCCTGGTATTTTAAAAAAATTGGTTAAAAAATTATAACCAGTTAGGGCAATGTAAACTTCCAGAGAGATACTTGAAACCGTTTCAAATACCTTTTGCTTAGGAAGTCTCCTAGCAACACTCTGTATTGATTCTTGTTTGTCTGAGAAAGTCTTTATTTTCTTTTTTGTTTTGAAAGGCAATCTCATAGGGTAAAGAATTTTAGGTTGGTGGGTTTTTTCCCTCAAAACTAAATATTTCACTTCACTCTTCTCTTGCTTACTTGCATGCCTAGTTTATGAGAAGTTGAAGATAATTTTTATCATTCTCTAGAAATAAGGTGTTTTTCTATGGATTTTTTTCTTCTTTGCCTTTTTCTGAAGTTTGAATATGATATGTGTAGGTGTAGTTTTTTGGCACATATCTTGTTTGGTGTTTTCTGAGCTTTGATGGTTTGTTCTCTGGCACTAATTTGGGGCAATTCTCAGTCATTATTTTTCAAGTATTTCTCCCATTCCTTTCTCTCTTTCTTTTCCTTCTTGTACTCCCATTCCATGTATGGTACCACTTTCATGGTTGTCCCACAGTTCTGGGCCATTCTGCTTTTTTTTCTTGCTTTTTTCAGGCTTTTTTCTTTGCTTTTCGGTTTCAGATGTGTCTACTGTTATATCTTAAGCTTAGTGATTCTTTCCTCAGCCTCATCTGCTCTACTGTGGAGCCTGTCAAAAGCACTCATTTCCTCCCATCCAAGTACTGACCAGGCCTGACCCTGCTTAGCTTCCTAGGTCAGATGAGATCGGGTGTGTTCGGGGTGGGGGGGTATGGCCGCAGACTCATTTCCTTAACAATATTTTGACCACTAGTGTTTCTTTTTGGATTCTGTCTTGGAGGTCTTTGCTTACATTATCCATCTGTTTTTGTGACTTGCCTGTTTTTTCTATTAAAGTCCTTAGTATATTCATCACAGTTTTTAAAAATTCCCTATCTGATAATTCCAACATTCCTATCATATCTGATTCTGGTTCCGATTGCTTGTTCAGTCCCTTCAGACTTTTTCTTTTCTTTCTTTTTTGCCTTTAAGTATGCCCTGTAATTTTTCATTGGTAGACAGACATGATGTTCTGGGTATAAGGAACTGCTGTGAACATGCCTGTGGTGAGACGGTGGTGAGGCATCGGGGGAGGGGAAGTGTGCTGCAGGTCTATGGTGAGCCCTGTGTGCCTCAGCCGGGAACTCCCCAAGGGTTCACTCTGAGAGGGAACAGGATGGCCGGCGGGAACTGGAGTTGGGTGTTCGCCTTCCCCCAGCCGCTTAGGCTCCGATCAACTAGCTTCTCCTGAGGGCAGGCCTTGTTTGGAAGAACAGAGTGCTCTGACATAGTTCAAAATGATTCCTTTTCCTTTCCTCTTGCTGGAAACAGGTCAGGATTGTTTTCTGATCTTCACTGTGAGCATCTGGTAGAGCTCCAGGACGTAAAACTCACAAAAGTGTGGGCTGCCCTGTACTTGGGCCCTCTTGACCTTTTAACTCTGGGGTTTGTCTACTCTGAGCCTCCAGCAAGTTGGCAGTTACAGTTCAGGTTTTCCTCCCTGACACTAGTTCCCACTGAGTTTTCTGCTTGTGGGTTTCTGCTCAGGTAAGTTGTGACTCTGTATCTGCCTGTTGGTATCTTCCATTTGGGGGCAGCCATTTGCCCTGTGGTTTCACTTAGATGAATCTAAGAAAAATTGTTGACTTTTCTGTATACTCAGCTTTTTACTTGTTGTTAAGATAGATGAGTCTAACCTCCTCATATACCAGGCTGGAAACCGTAAGTGGCCTTTTTCTAGCAACATCTTGTTATTTATGCATCCACAATTTCCTGGTCACTAGCATAGATACGAGAGGGCCTTTTGTGCCCCCTCCTCAGGAGATCCATCCAATTCACTCAGTGTTTCCATGTTGGGAGCTGTGGTTTTTGAGCATGGGGCAGGCAGGGGTGGGGGTGCGTCCTGGGGAAAGTACCAGACTCTCCACTGGGGTGTAGGAAAGAACATCAGAATGTTGAGTTGCATTTGTTTTTATCTTGGTTTTTTATTTGTGTCTTGGTAGATTTTACAGTGTGTGTTCTAAGACATTGATGAAGAAGTAATATATATACTTTCTAAATAAATATACATATAATGGGACAACATGCTCAGATGTTTTTATTATTAAAAATAAAGATTGTACTCAAATTAAAATGGAGTTCTGCCCTGACCAATGTAGCTCAGTTAATTGGGTGTTTTCCTGCAAAGTGAAGAATCACCAGTTCAATTCCCAGTCAGGACACATGCCTGGGTTGGGGGTTCAGTCCCTGAATGGGGTGCATGTGAGAGACAACTAGTCGATGTTTGTCTCTCATATTGGTGCTTTTCTCCCTCTCTCCCTCCCTGCCCCTCTCTCTAAAAATAGATGAATATAATCTTTTAAAAGAATTAAAATGGAGACTACTATTTTAGAGATTGAGGAAGGAACATTTTTACTGGCTAAAACACTACATTTTTTTTTCTTCTAAAATGCTGTGATATATTTCCCTCTCTTGACAGAGATTTACCCAAATATTCATGTTCTCCTGTTTTGTTTTAATGAAGTTCTCAGATAATTGGAATAGCATTATACTGTGCACTCATCTCTTAGTGTTTAATTCTCATTCCTTAAAAAAAAAAGTAGTGTTGTTTCCCCCCCCCCCCCCCCCTTCACTGAGAAGTTTTCCACACTGGCAAATGCAAACTGTTTAGTCTTTTAGGATTGAGGACCAAGACTGATGACCTTCACTCTGGAGA